ACAAAATGGTCACCCAACAACAATAGCCTCATGCCTCAAGAGGTAGAGGAGCCAAATGGCTGGCACACTGCTGCCAACTAGTGGTCAGAGGCTGAACTACAACATAAAAATGAACGGCTGGCAGGAAAGTTGACATTTTAAACCTTAATAAAAATCGATACAGGGCTTTAAAATATTGATACAGTATTGGGAAATGAAATATRGCGATATTTCAGTGTATCGATATTTTCTTACAYCCCTATTRGATAACATATTTAGCTAACTGTAAACAGCCGGCTGAATGTGACGTCATGTGCAGATAATGACATGACTCACATTATATTTTAAATGTGACCTCCATCAGACTGTGGTTCACAGAAGTCTGMTGGAGGTCACATTTAAAATATAATRYGAACGTTCACACCTAACAGTCAGAACTGAGCATCAGTTACAGTGAGAGTCCGTTCTGCTGCTGCAGGAGTGGGGAACAGGGGTGGTCCTAAACTGTAATGAACAGGGGGCAGTGCCCCTGTAAAACTGGTCCTGGTCTCTGTTTTACTTTAACAAAAAAAGAAATAAAAACGAAGATGTTACACTTTATGCTTTTGTCTTGTGTACCCCATCTTGTYCCCCAGAAAAAATAGGTGTAGAACTGCTAGAGAGTTAAACAATGTAAGAYGATTTATATTTTAGCAGGGAGTGTGACACTTGTTAACACCCACAGGAAGTGCCCTCTGGTGGGACAAATCCTCTGAAACTTTCAGGCCTGTTTTCTCCCTAATCTTGTTTGCAGATGAACAACAAATGTTTATATCTTCTTCATTTATTTTGTTTGCTCTGTGTTTGGCATCATTGGATAGCTTAGAACTTGTTGCTGGTTTTCCTGTGGCCAGTCACATATACACTCGCACAGTTTGAAAAATAAAAACACATTTACATAGAAAAGAGAACAAAAATGTGGCTGAAAGGAATATTTCTTACACTTTGAAGTTGAAGGTCTGAGAATTAAGTTCATAACTGACGTAGATAGTTATTTTTAAACAACATCAAATTAGAGAAAAAGAGCTTACTGGTAATTCTGACAGGACTGACGAGCTAAAGGCTAGTCTGAAGGCAGCCATGATTAACGTATATTGCTGCCATCTTAAAACGATAGTGCAGTCATTTTTGAAGTGATGCTCTGTCTAATAAATGGGACGGCTGTGGCAGAGTGGTTAGGGGAGTCGTCCTGGAACCAGAAGGTCACTGGTTCAATCCCCCGTCCAGCTGTCTCAGTTGTAGTGTCCTTGGGCAAGACACTTCACCTCTAATGCCTCTGATGTGTCCCATCAGTGTATGAATGTGATTGGCACTGATTAGTCTCCATAGATGATTGTACATGTTATCTTTGTAGAGACCTAAATGAGTGCTGTGTGAATGGRTAAATGAGGACAGATTGTAGAGTGAAGAGCTTTGAGGGTCCTGGATGGACAGAAAAGTTCTATATAAGTACAGTCCGTTTACCATTTAATACTCAATAACTACAGTGGTTCATTAGTACATTATACATGACATCGGGCATGGAGTATTGAGAAAGAAGCTGAAGTCTTTGTCCAGACAAGGCCAATGGATGGCCAACCAGTGTGTTAAAATTATTTATCAGACTTACAAAACAAAAATGACATCCTGGTGTGAAAGAAAACAATGTTAGATATTTAACCTCTGCACTTTGACATGATGCTGTAGTTTCTCACTGTTCTTTTCAACTAAACAACCTCTGTGTTGCTGTGCRTCTGTAGCCATGTTTCCATCAAGGTTTAAATGCACATTTTGAAGTATCACATCAGAAAAGGTCAACGGAAACGGCATCGTTTGAAAAAACTTCCTTTAATTTGCAAAAATGTTGATACACTCGCTTGAGGTGGTTTTTGGGTTTTTCGAACAAGAGTTAATGCGTAAAAGGACAGATCGAAACACTTTTGCCAAATAAGTTCTGATGTAACGAACATTTAGCTCACATGTTGATCGGATGCTCTCGCTGTCTGAACGGTACTGATACCAGAGCGACTGCAGCTGGACCCTCCTCCCACTGTCGGCATCTTCTCAGTTATTCCCGTAACGTGAAGAGAACTGCATTTCTTTCTCTACGTCTCCAGACAGCAGTAACATCACCAGAACTAGTTGATAACAGAATAATTACAACTTTCTGACAGCAGAAACACGTTCCTGATAACTTCTCTCCATTGTCCTGAGATGTGTGGACCCTGCAAATTTCAAGTAGGGGTCTCTGCAAAATGTGTTGTCCTGTGGGCGGAGACGGCCCAAATCGTCATTGGCCGAGGTCTTAATGTGGGCGGAGACGGCCCAAATCGTCATTGGCCGAGGTCTTAATGTGGGCGGAGATGGCCCTACTTGTGATTGGTGGAGGTTACGATGTGGGCGGAGATGGCTGGTTAGGGGTGTTTTAACCAAGCCATATTGTAACACGTCCTTTCATATGTATGATGTTCAAATTTCGTGCAGCTAGCACTTTYCTTTCTCAAGTTATGACTAAATGTTGCTTCCTGCCCGACTCGATCAAGCTACTCCCCGCACCGTCAATCCGATCAATCACATCTCGGGTCATCTCTGCCCACATCGTAACCTCCGCCACTCACGAGCAGGGATGTCTCCACCCACAGGACAAAAMCTACTGCAGAGACCCCTTACTCGCAAATTTTGCAACTTTTACTTCCTGTTTAATACACGCATGCGTCTGACGTAACTGATTCGCTTCAAGTCAGTTGATGGAAACACGTCTGATTTGCATTTGTTCATTTTTTCCTTTTTGCAAAATTTAAAAAATTCATTAAAATGTCAAATTAAAATTGGATGGAAACACGGCTACTGTGCTCTGAGCTAAACTGTGTTAACCAACGGTGCTGAGRAACTGTATCAGTCTGCATTAGCACATCTATTTATCCCAAAGGTTTCTTTAAATCTCAGTGGACACTTTGCAGCATCAGCAACATTGACTAATACATGACTTGTGCAAAGGACATATATACATTTTTAAAGTAATATGGTCAATGTTTGATTACAAAACAGGGACAAACTAAACAACATGCCATGTGAATATGTAGACATTTATTATTAGTCCAGCTTCTTTCACAATGAGCATTGTTCATTCATTCAGCTACTAGCCTAGCCTGGGTGATGTTTTTTTTCCTCTTTATTCCATATTCTGTGTTTTCTGACTGATTTCATGCCTTGTTAGTCTAGTCAGAAGTAAACTCTCCAAACTAGCAGTACAAAGAGCGATTTTCAGTTGGTAAAACATTCATCAGTGTGCATTGCCAATGCAATGCACACTATTGTGATTYGTTTCCCATCCAAGCCATCTCAACTTTGGCATGCTTCTCCTCCTGCAAACTTTGTCCTAGAGCTGCCATTGTAATTTATATCTGTAAAGCCCCTGTGCCAAATGATGGCTATGCCTTTTGGTGCCTGTAAAACTTAYAGTTTATGAAATATTAATGTTTAATGAATTATAATGGCAGTCAATGGAGCCATGTATTGGTCCAATACTGCCCCATGCTGTACTCAACTTGGTACTGCACCATAGTTTAATATTTCAACTCAGTAGTTCAGTGTTTACAGTACTAATATGATTGTATTTTGATGTTTTACTATAATATTGTCTTAATACTGCTCGATTGTTGTAATATTATGCATTTTTGTGTCAATAATTGTATTGGCAATGTGGCCTCTTTCTGCACACATACAAACCAACCCCTGCCACCACATTCTGCCACAGCTCCATTGGTCTAATGGTCTATGTCATGGACTTTCATGTGGGAGATCAGGGTTCAAAACCCAGCTAATGTAACTTTAACAAAAAATCTCTTCAAACTTCATATTGTCACACAATTACCTTAATTACAAACACCTGCTGATGTGATAGACACAAGCTGGTATAGAAAACACATTTGAACTTGGTCAAATTTCATTCTGCAAGTCCACTGCTGCAATGACATGCTACATGGCAATGCACACTTGTTTTTACATCGTAAAAACCCATGTCTAGTTGTTATTTGTATCCCTAAAATGTTTTTTTTACCTTTAGTCAAATTTGCTGAATTCGCTTTATTATTATTTTTTTACAGGAGGTGCATCCCAAGCCCATAGTAAACGCACTGAAAGACACAAGGAAAAAAGGACAATGCAAACATCCTAAAGATCGTATGTTGGCATCAGCTCATCTACCAATCAAAGTGAATCAAGGTTTTCCTAAAAGTGAGTCCAGTTTTTCTTTTTTTACTACACTACAAACACTGAGAATGTGACTTTATTACAAACTGTTTATTTTTCTTACAAACCCAACTTTCTAAGAAATATACTGCCTTTAATGGTGTCTTACCTCGGGCACCTTAAGAAATTACACAGCACAGCTCACAAATGGGAAGATTGTTTGCTTTATTTTAGCACAGTGATGTGATGTGTTTGCCTTATTTTGACAGCAATTAATTTCTCTGTGTTGTAAAGTATTCTGGAGTCAAATGTGGTTTGGGATATTAAATGACGACATGACATGATATCTGCTGCATGTGTTTTGTACACCTAAGGCTTGATTTGAATAACTAGAAGCTGAAGACCAGATCTTTTCTATGTCCTGAGACATATGACCCAAGCTTCAACAGAGGGTGGACTTTTTTTTTCTCATGACTGAATTATTTATCTCATTCAGGGATAATTGTTTTGGACCTAGCTGATCAAGCTAACGGTAGCAGTCTGTAAGAGTTGAAGAAAAATAAATAGATGACACATTATCAATGGTATACATCAGGGGTCTGCAACCTTTACAATCAAAAGAGCCATTTCAGCTCCTTGTTTCACCAATAAAATGTGTCCGGAGCTGTAAAACACGCTACAACTGTGATTATCAACTGGTGGTCCTTGAGCCTTTTTAAGGCCTATTCAGGAAACTTTATGGTCAGTGGAGGTGACATTATAAAACAAACAAAAAGATATTACATTAGTTAATATTATACACATCATGACAAATAAAAAGACCATAGTCATGTAAACAAGAAAAATACTGTATATAATTTATACCAAATTTCATAAAAACTAGTACAACTGAATTATTCAGGCATAAATTTTTTCCTAATTCTTATTATTATTTAGTTTTCAATTTATTTAAAGGTAAATTTTGATGGATTTGAGATAAAAATCAAAGAAAGAAGTTGGATTATATAAGTAAACAACAGGCTAGCATAAGCTAACATGTTTTACTTTTTGTATTAGTAGTATAGATCACATATTTTCAGCGGTGGACACCAGCCCGCTAAAGTGCAAATCCACTAATTGCGGACCTAAATATTTTGTTTGCACTTTAGCGGTATTACTAATTTTTATAATTAATAAGCGGATTTGTGCTTTCTAAAATTAAAATGCAGTACCACTAATAA